AGACAAATATTGATATTGTTTTTACGTATATATGGAACTTTTTGTAACAATCTATAATTTAACATGGACGATTTATCATGTTAACTTTTTAGTTGCATACTATTCACAAGCAAAAATAAAAATTTAAAATGGTCAATATTGCTTTCTGGGAACTTAATTAGATATAAATTCTTCGATAGAATAGTTCCTGTTTCAAGCATATCATTAAACAAATATTGGATAAAAAGCAATGGATGTATAATTATTATATAATAAATATAAATACATGGTTCCGGTTCTCCTCCCACTAGGCGTACTCCGGGCCCAGCAGGAGTAAGGTTTCGTTTCTCCTCCGACTAGGCATACTCCGGGTCCACCTGGAATAAGATTTCGGTTCTCCTTCAGCTAGGCGTGCTCCGGGCCCAGCTGGAGTAAGGTTTCGTTTCTCCTCCAACTAGGTATACTCCGGGCCCACCTGGAATAAGATTCCGGTTCTCCTCCAGCTAGTCGTACTCCGGGCCATATTGGAGTAGGGTTCCAGTTCGTCTCCAGCAGGCATTGTCCAGGCCCAATTGGAGTAAGGTTCCGGTTGTCCTCCAGCTAGACCTACTCCGGGCCCACCTGGAATAAGGTTCCTGCTATCCTACAGCTAGGTGTATTCTGGGCCCACCTGGAGAAAGGTTCCGGTCCTCCTCCAGTTTGTCTTTCTTCGGGCCCACCTGGAGTAAGGTTCCGATTCTCCTCCAGCTAGGCGTACTCCGGGCCTACCTAGATTAAGGTTCTGGTCCTCCTCCAGTTTGGCGTTCTTCGGGCCCACCTGGAGTAAGGTTCCGATTCTCCTCCAGCTAGGCGTACTCCGGGCCCACCTGGAGTAAGGTTTCATTAATCCAGCTAACCCAGTGTTAAACTGCTTAAATAAACTTATGGATATAATTACATGGCAAATTTTCATGCCATTGAGGGTTAGTAAAGAGGAGGAGGGTTGGAGGGTTAGTAAAGAGGGGGAGAGTTGGAGGGTTAGTAAAGAGAGGGAGGGTTGGAGGGTTAGTAAAGAAGTGGAGGGTTGAAGGGTTAGTAAAGAGGGGGAGGATTGGAGGGTTAGTAAAGAGGGAGAGTGTTATTAAAGAGAGGGTTAGTAAAGAGGAGGAGGGTTGTAGAGTTAGTAAATAGGGGGAGGGTTGGAGGATTTATTCTAAAGTTGGAAGGATGTTGAAGAATGTGAAGGATTAGTGAGCATGGAAGGATGAAGCATGATTTTTAAAAATCTTATTCTTGTCATCTCTTCATCCTGACGGAGTAACTTCAGACCAGTGCTCACACCCAGCTTAGTTAAAAGGATCTTTATATACTCAGATAATAATGTTACCTTTTCACAAATCAGAGCACGCCTTTAAATCAAATCCTGTATCCAGGCTTAGACACCTGCTTCCTGTATCCTGTATCCAATCTTGAGCATCCTATATCCTGGATCCATTTTCCTTTATCAAACTGTATCCTGTACCCTGTTTCCTGTAATTTTTCTTCAGTATGCTATATCCTGTATCCAATCTGGAGTAACATATATCCTATATCCTATTTATTATATACAAACTTCAATATCAAAAAGTCTTTATCCTGTCTGCTGTATCCAATATTCAGTATCATATAGCCTGTATCCTGCATTCTATGTCCTGTATCCTGTATCCAATATTTAGTATCCTAAATCCAGTTTCCTGTATATTGTATCCTATATGCATGCTGTACTGTTTACTGCATCCTGTATTCTATATAAAATCCTCAGCATCCTATGTCTTGTTTCCTGTATCCTGTATCCTATATCCATGCAGTAGCGTATACTGAATCCTGTATCCTTACCCAGAATCAAGAACCCACGATGTATTTTGCATTCTGTATCATATCCAAGCTATATCCTGTATTCTTGAAACTTTTTCAAGATCAAAAATGTGTTTGTAAAAATGCTGGCAAGGGGCGTTGTTTAGGTCATTTTACGTTTCCAGTGTTTTGGGTGGTACCCTGAGTAAGGAAGGATATTCCACGACTACTCCAGTAGCCTAGATATACTGGTAGACCTGATCCGTGTAACCTTTCTCAACTCTGGTATAGATAAGTTTGTAGATCACGCAGTTGATTTCCTGAATATTTTAAGAGAAATATTAGCCATTGTTCTTTCGGTAGAACAGGAGAACTTGAAAAGGATTAATTCCAACCAATGGAGATGGGTCAATTGAGCCATAAAACATTTCAATACTGACTCGTCTTTTTTTGAGAGACAAATAAAAAAAAACTCTCAAAGGAAAATGATTTTTTTAATTAATTATGTCTCTAACTAAATATTTTGACAATTATATGCAGCTAGTTCGCAAACCACAAATGTGCAATATTATGTGGTGGTTTCTGTGTATGGTGATCTTTTTGTTAAAATCATTTTCATATCTTAATCTTTTTAGCGGTAGATAATTCATTCACAAACCTTTAATCACGTATCTAATGTTTAATAAATTAAATAAAAAGCTTGAAAAATTGTTTATTATTAAATGTAGATAGGACGGAACAGGTTGGGGGGGGGGGGTTGCTGTTAATTGGAACATATTGACTCAACGTGGTGTGGGATGTTCATGTCTCTATTTATCATTGAAAATTTGATCTAATATTGCTCTGAGCTGTAAAAAATGAGCTAATAATAAACTGCGATATCCTGGACCGGAAGTAAACTCTCGGGTAAAGATGTTGTTAGGTTTAGGACGAGGAGAGTCTAGGGATGAGGACTGCTTTACATTTTTTCAGAGAAGTGAATAAAACATTTGGAGTAAAAGTAAAAGCATCTAAATGTAAGAAAGGAAAATAGGTTAAAACTTTAGCCAAGTTTAAAAATCGATTAAAAATAGATCATCGAAAAGTTTAAAAGATGGGGAAAATTGAGTTTTAAAAAACGTTAATCGGTTATTAGCTGAGGAAAAAACTTGCGGTTTTCTCAAATGTACAGGGCGCTATAGGGAAGGGAATTTGGGAAAATCATTCTCTCAGAATCCACTAAGCACAAAGATTCAAAATGAGCCGGCTTTTACGCAAAAATCGATTAGAATTTTGCCAACTACTTCTTTTAACAAGTTGATTTTCTGAAGTGTGCTAGGGCTACAGAAATGTACAGGTTAATCGTAAACTAAAACCAAATGCCAGGCGTTGCGACAAGCATTTTTTCTACATCCCACTATTATAGGATACGTACATATGAGATTGTTAAGATAAACATGACAGTTGGTGAATAGTTTTGAATGTCTTCTTTCATATACTATATAAGATATTAAAGACTTTTTGTAGTTTATTTAGTTAAAAAAATCTTTAACTCATATATAGTTTACTTTGAAATCAATTTTACGGTAACATGGCTGTCATGTGGTATTTTTTATTATTCTCTTTGTTATCAGAGACTTAAAACAATCTTTGGAAGAAGACATTTAAAACTGTTCACCAACAATCATTTTCAATGAGAAACCCTGTATCAGAAAATGTTCTAGATAATTAACCAAATCTTCTTAAATCGATCCTCTCATCAATAATTGTTTCGAAATATACAAACAAGTTCTTTACACCTACTCTAGTTTCTGCATCTCTAGGTACACGATTGAGCTGGTAACCCTGAGTAGAGAAGTAGGAAACAGGTCAGGTCTAACATGGAGCAGATGTCATGACATCTCAAACATTCTTCAATAACAGCATCAGGGTATTTCAGGACAATAGACAATAGACACTAGACACTAGATGCTAGACACTAGATACTAGACACTAAATACTAGATACTATAGAAACTAGACACTAGACAATAGACACTAGATATTAGATACTAGACACTAGAAATAGACACTAGATACTAGATACTAAATACTAGACAATGGAAAATAGACACTAGACACTAGATACTAAATACTAAATACAGATACTATAGTAACTAGACACTAGACACTAGACACTAGATACTAGACACTAGATACTAGGTACTGGATACTAGACACTACACACTAGACACTATAAGATACAAGAAATTAGACCCTAGATGCTAGACACTAGACACTAGACACTAGACACTAGACACTAGACACTAGACACTAGACACTAGACACTAGACACTAGACATTAGATACTAGACACTAGACACTAGATACTATAAACACTAGACAATAGACACTAGACACTAGATACTAGATACTAGATACTAGAAAATAGACACTAGACACTAGATTTTAGACACTAATTACTAGATACTATAGAAACTAGACACTAGACACTAGATACTAGATACTAGACACTAGATACTAGATACTAGACACTAGACACTAGACACTAGATACTAGATACTAGATACTAGACACTAGACACTACATACTTGACACTAGAAACTGGAAACTAGGCAATAGATGCTAGAAATTAGACACTAGATACTAGACACTAGATACTAAACACTAGATACTAGACACTAGACACTAGACACTAGACACTAGACACTAGACACTAGACACTAGACACTAGACACTAGACACTAGACACTAGACACTAGACACTAGACACTAGACACTAGACACTAGACACTAGACACTAGACACTAGATACTAGACACTAGACAGTAGACACTAAATACTATAGAGACAAGACACTAGACACTAGCCACAAGACACTAGATATAAAACACGTGGTATTAGATACTAGATATTAGATACTAGATGCTAGATACAAGAAAATAGATTCTAGATACTAGACACTATATATAAAACACGCGGTACTAGACACTAGATAATAGACCCAAGATATATTAGATACGTGGTACTGCACACTAGATATTATAGACACGGTGTGGTAGACACTAGATATTAGACACGTTGTATTAGATACTAGACTACTGTAAGTTGTAAATACCTTAGTATAGTACACGGTAATCTGTAAAAGGCTAGACATATCTAGGTTTATAGATTAGACTGCTCTGATGAGATGAATGCCCGGGACGCATTGGTGAGATGAACGCTCGGGACGCCAAGATCAGATTAGTTGTAAGTGGACCGTGTTAGAGTGAAGGAGTGAACTATTTCAGCTCCCGCTTTCAGCTCACATCTTTTACCTAGACTCTTAAGAGGTATACATTTATTTTAATTTTAATAACTTTAGAAAATCTTGAAGTGCATGCACATTAAATTATAGAATATAAAATGATTTTAGAATTAATTATGTAGAACATATCCCACAATCACTTAATTTCCTAATTTATTCCTCTAATTATTATCATATTTAAATATTGGAGAAAAATTCCACTAATTACCATCATATTTAAATATTGGAGAAAAATTCCTCTAATTACCATCATATTTAAATATTGGAGAAAAATTCCACTAATTACCATCATATTAAATATTGGAGAAAAATTCCACTAATTACCATCATATTTAAATATATTCGAAAAATTCCACTAATTACCATCATATTAAATATTGACGAAAAATTCCACTAATTACCATCATATTTAAATATTGGAGAAAAATTCGTAAAAAGTTTTCCCGATAATTATTTGAATTCCAAACCAAATTTAACATTGTACAGTTAACAGTCATCTAGAAACATCAAGTTTTTTTTTACTACTCAAGGAATTAAGGTTCTTTTACATTAAATATCCCTGTCCTATTTTTTTGTTCCTTCACGTTTAGCAATCTATCTCTATTTTTTCCTTTATTTGCAAATAGCTAGCACTATTAGCTAAGAAAGGTTCGTTGAGTCATTACTATTCATCGTTAGTATGAAAGGGACTCTTTACAAAATTTAAGTAGATTTAATTTAAAATGTAAAACTTTAATTTGATCAAATGAGCGATATTATAATTTGATTTTAATTTCTATCTCCGATTTACATCGATACCGGACCCTTAAAACCTTGTTCCGAGTAAATATCACATCCTTTTTTTCTGGATTTGCAGATGTTTGCAGCAGAAACATGGAAGGAAATTGGCAGAATTCATCTCGATCTTTCGAAATTTAAATCGACGTTTTCATTGTTATTCAGATAGTCCATTAAACAACATATTTTTCCCAATACTTTAGTGCCTCCGTAATTTAGTAATTCATGGATTTATCAATAAATTAATATGAGAAATGTGCATGATATCTACGACTGCCTGATAGAAGAATATATTTATGCATTTCCATTAATGCTTAGCTGTGGAGAGTATAAAAAAGGTTAAAGCCAGGTAAGACGGGGTAGGAAATGTTGTGTTTACATTACAGCCGAGAGACAGTACACTACAGTACAAAAGATGCGTACTCCTCTGAAATAACTTTACTTGCATTAGAACCTTGTCCTAGAGTAGAATAGGCATTGATTGACAAGCACTGGAGGGCTCATACTGTGCCACTGCCTTAGGCCTTGTTTAGTATGTATATAATACATGTAGGCCAATATTCGTCGCTATTTTTACTATTATATTCCCACGGGTTCTGTATGGGATATGGGAGCAAGGAAAGGATATTTTGACGAAGTATTATCAGAATTCTACATGATGAAGTTAAAGAATGTAAAGGAGTATAGAGATATAATAAGGGTTCAAAAAAATAGGCTTGAGAAAGAATTTTTAAAAAGTTAAGATTTGATTTTATGTTTTGAATGACTTACAAAAAGTTTAATCGTGACTCAATAACTTGTTTTATACACTGTAGCTGACAAATATGCCTGTAATATTCAGAATGATGCAAAACTAATTGCAATTATTTCCTTGGCCCGCCAAATACAGATCTGTCTAGCTGAGAGATTGCAGGGCGGGTTCGGTGAGGAGGGGGGGGG